CACACACAGAGAAATGCACACTCCCTGTCATAATCCCTTGCTGTACTTATCTTCATACCAATTCCTATCATCTGACATATTGTATGTACTTGTATGTACTTAAGTGTTTATTGTCTTCTCTGGGAGCATCACCTCCTCAGAAAGAGGGGCCTTTGTCTTGTTCCATGTGTACCCACAGCACCTAGAACAACATCTGGCTTATTGGAGGTGCCTGCCATTTGTTGAATGAATGAATGAAATTGACCCCTTCTGACTCCGCAACCAAACATGGATCAAGAGACAAATGTATTGTGCAGCTTCTTCCCACCAGCTTTGTTCTCATTCTCATCACATAAGGGGACTGATACATTTGGAGAACATCTTTTAAAAATTAACCACAGCTGTGAGTCTTTAAAACATTCTATGCAGTGAATTAGGAAATGCCAATTAATTGTTGATTTGTAAGGCAAATGGAGAAAAACACACTCAGTATACACCAAGTCTCCTGTGCTGAGCGTGCAGGGTCAGGCCCTGGTGGCAGGAGGAGGTGCAGGGTGTGGGGACTTCCTTCAGGGATCTCATTCCTTCTCCCTGGGGTCCCTCAGCTGTGCATCCTGCAGCAAACTCTAGTCTCTCATACCCCCTCCTCGGAGAACTACTGCTTGAGTTGTGTGTTTATGTGTGTGTATATCCAATGCCAAGTGTTGTCTCACCAAGGACTTCCTTGGGCAGAAATTCATGTTTTCTTTCTGTTTATAATGTTTATAGTGTTTCTTAGCAACCCACTGCCATGACTCCTATCTGCCGAGTTGCTACCCAAATGTATCTTGGACTTTATACTGTTTTCTTTTGTAATATCTTAAGATTTATTTTGACCACAGTAATATATGAAACAAAACATTTACAGAAGTAAATGTACACAATGCCCATCTAAGAGCTGGTGCCCCAGGGCTGGAGGGCACAGCGGGGAGGATGGCGCCTGTTCAGCAAGGCCATGCATTCTGCCTGGCAGAATGATCCCTGTTCTGGTGATACATGCAAAGCCATTGTTGGTTTAAGAACATTTTTGTGGAATATTCATTATGGTGGAACATGCTAATAAAATGAGCACAGTATCCACCCTCAAGGAGCTTCTGGTAGTGAGAGAGATAAACCTGAATTAAGTAATTGCAGTAATGTAATCACAAACTCTGATAAGTGCTACAGTGTAGAAAACCACGATGCCCTGGGAACTTAACATGGGGGAATTTGTTCTATTCACGGGGCCATGTAATTTGAAATGGGATCTGCAGGTTATTAGGCAGGAATGTGTGTGGGGTTGGGAGAGGGGCAGAGTTAGGTGCATTAGTTTCTGAGCAGAGGGAAGGAGGTTTGCAAGACCTCTTGAGTGTTGAGAGTTAAAGGAGCCCTCTGTGTCTGAAGTAAGAGGATGACATGGGAGAGATGTGCTTGGGGAGCTCTAGAGAGAGGAGCAGGGCCCAAGAGTTCACTCTTGTGTGTGCAGTACCAGTGCTGAGCACAAAAGAGGTGTGAGTCAGGCTACGACAGGTTCCCTCTATTAAAGGCTTACTCTAAACACATTGTGGATAATGGGTTTCAGGGAGAAAGGGTGGAAGTTGGGGAAGCAATATAAGAACTCTGGGTTTGTCCTTGGCAGCTCTGACTAGGGTGGTGCTTGTGGAAGAATTAGAGAACACAAGACTGAAGAGATCATTCGGGAGGCTGCTGGCATGTAGATGGTGATTGCTCTGATACACTCACTAAATGATCTTCTGGTAATCTGACTTGATCTTTAAAGCATCCATAAAGGTGCTTATGCCTGGGATTTACCGGTTTTCAGGAAATAAGGAGTCCAATAGTTAAGTTCATGAATTTGCCACTGTGTGCCTATGTTGGTAGCACCATACAAACAACTCAGTAAGGTGTTTCATAACTTTGGTATATCAGTGTCTCACAGTTGTATTAGTATACACATGTGGTTGTGTCTTGCTGAGTGACATTCATTATTGTGTGTTTTGTGTATTGCAAGAATGTCAAGAGCTTGAATTAGAGCAATGTCCAAATATTTGTAAATTTGTTGTTAAACTTGAGAAGATGGCTCAGTGCCTGTAGCTCAGAAGCTAGGGCACCAGCCACATACACCGAGGCTGGTGGGTTCAAATCCAGCCCCAGCCTGCCAAACAACAATGACAACTACAACCAAAAATAGCCGGAAGTTGTGGTGGGCGCCTGTAGTCCCAGCTACTTGGGACGCTGAGGCAAGAGAATTGCTTAAGCCCAAGAGTTTGAGGTTGCTATGAGCTGTGACACCATAGCATTCTATTGAGGGCAACATAGTGAAATTTTGTCTCAAAAAAAAAAAAAAAAGAAAGAAAACTTGGGAAGAGTGGAAGTGAAATCTGGGACATGTCAATCCAGGTTTATAAGGGTAATGCCATAAAGAAAACGGCAGTGAATTAAACTTTTTTATGATGGGAGAGAAAGTGTCACTGATAAAGAGAGGTCAGGGCAGCCAGTAACCAGCAGAACTAAGGAAAACATTGCAGATATTCATTGAACTGTGCATCAGAATCATCAGCTGACTGTGAAAAACATAGCAGACCAAGTAAACATTGATAGAGAAACAGTTTAGGAAAATCTTAACTGAAAATCTTGGCATGAGAAAGGTGTGTACAAAAATTGTCCCAAGGGAGCTCACCAATGAACAAAAGCAAAGCAGAGTTGAAGTTTGCCAAGACCTTTTGGAGAGGCAAGGTGGTATTTTGGGCCACAGTGTCACTGGCAGTGAAACAAGGGTGTACGAATATGACCCCAAAACAAATTGTCAAAGTGCACAATGGAAGTCAGCCAATTATCCATGACCAAAAAAGTTATACATCAGTCAAAATCAAGAGTCAAAATGATATTGCTAACCTTCTGTGCTACCAGAAAGATTATTCATTATTAATTTATACCAAATGGACAATTAAGCAGATTTACTGTTTGGAAGTGCTGAAAAGGCTAGACAAAAGCAACCTGAACTTTTGGCCAACAACTCATGGCTCTTGCCTCACAACAGTCACCAGCTCACATGGCACTGTCTATGAGGGATTTTTTAGCCAGTAAACAAATAATTATATTGGAACATCCCTGATCTAGCTCCCCAATGACTATTTTTTTTTTTTTAGATGGAGTCTCACTTTGTTGCCGAGACTAGAGTGCCATGACATCAGTCTAGCTCACAGCAACCTTAAACTCCTGGATGAAGAGATCCTTCTGCCTCAGCTCCCAAGTAGTTGGGATTACAGGTGCCTGCCACAACTCCTGGCTAGTTTTTAAATTTTTAGTAGAGATGGGGGTCTCACTGTTGCTCAGCTGATGTAGAACTCCTGAGTTCAGGCAAGCTACCCACCTTGACCTCACAGAGTGCTAGGATTAGAGGTGTGAGCCGCTGCTTCTTGCAGAAAGGAAGACATTTTGATGACATTTGGGACATCAAGGGTAGTAAGATGAGAGCTCTGATAGTCATTCCATAAAATAAGTTCCAAAATTACTTTGAAGGGTAGGCTAGTGCTGGTGTCATTGCAGAACTTTCTTTTCTAAAGGGAGTACTTCGAAGGTGACCATAGTGATATTCAACGATAAACAACAGAGCACTTTTTCTAGGACAAGTTTTCTTTTTTTTTTTTTTTTTTGAGACAGAGCCTCAAGCTGTCCCCCTGGGTAGAGTGCCGTGGCATT